GCTGGCTTTATTCCCCAGATGACAATTTGTTGTCATATCTCAATCGGTTTTCTCATTCTATGCCTTGACTTTGTTGATAAAAAATTGTAGGCAAGTTTTTGGATGCGACTCAATGTCAGGCATTTGCTCCGGAAGGGAGATGTTAGTTCAGTACAGCCGTCGTCTTTGCCGTGGTGATACCCACTTCGAATCGGTGAGCCCAGGCACAACTCCCCTTAAGTGCTTTGTAATCTCAAATTTGTCTTCCCATTTCATCGAGGAAGCATTCTCGAGCAGAAACCATTTTGGCCTCGCCTCATTCATTACTCTTATAAAAAATAATCTACTTTTCGGCCCGTGCAATCCATGTTTTCCCTTTACCGTTCCCCGATGCTCAGGCCTTGCCAAATCCACATGCATCTCMCCCGGGTCCTTTCGCCCGACTCTCCTCAGGTCCTGCCAATTTTGCATTCATATCACTCTTTGTCCTTTCTTGTTCCTTGCTTATTTTTAACTTTTTTCATGCATGCTGCCCAGTTCATCCCTTGTGCATCTCTTTTTCAGACACCTCGTCAGACCTGTTTCCAAATACCCATTTGTTTCCCAGCCTGCCAGTCTTTCTCTCAGATCCATACATAGTCCATCATACGAGTCTTTTCTTTTCCAGACGTCTTACTTGGCCTATTTTCAAGCTTATGTCAAATCAATCACGCAAGCCGCTTGCCAGACCTTTTCTCAAGCTCATGCAACGTCAACTTCTCACCCATTTCTCTTCTGGACATCTTGCCAGGCATTTTCTCAAGCCTGCGCAAAGTCAATTACTCATCCATTCTTCTCTTCTGGACATCTTGCCAGACCTTTTTCTCAAGCTCATGCAACGTTAATTACTCATTTATTCTTTTCTTCTGGACATTTTGCCAGACTTTTTCTCAAGCCTGCGCAAAGTCGATTACTCATCCATTTTTACGCTCATGGTACCCTTCTCTCTTGCACGCTTTTTCTTTGGTAGATGGCACACCTTCCCCCCACTCAAAATGCGATGTCCCCATCGCACGACTGGTTCTCACTCGGAGGTACGCAGACCTTGGCCCACCAACGAGTAGGCGGATACCGGCCCATCAGCCCCAAAAAGGAAGGGTGATCAGTCCTCCCCCTGCTGATAACTCACCTCATCTCCTACTCCGTTCGACCTTTTGCCGCTTACGAGACGGGCGTCATCACTGAGGTACCTCCTCATATCTGGCAGGCAGGTCCGGTCCAAAACCTCCCAGGACCCCGTCTTGCCGCAAGGGCTTTCTCGCGAATCGGTCCTCCCGGGTGGTGTTTTCTTGGATCCGGCCTCTTCCTTTTAAGAGAGTTGGGGCTCTCAACTAGTCCACGAGTGCAGTTACGAAGACCTCGCAATTAGTCCCGAAGCGGTTGTAATGCTCCGGCGGGGCGGTGTCACTCGCCCCGTGGTGGTTGTGGCTTCCACCCGGTACCACGCCCAACTCCTCCCTTCTGGACAGTGCGGCTCAACTTAACGCGAGCCGCCGTGGTCCATTCCAAGCGGCCATGCCGCCCCTCAACGACATGGCGTGTGGTTGGGGAGAACAAAAGAGACTAGAAAAAAAAAATGGCTCTCTCAACCATTTGGTTCCCTCACCCTTTGACGTTTAGGCGTTTAACACGAGGCGCAATTTGAACTTCCCGACTAGAGCTCGTTGTCGGGGTCAGTTCCGGACGTCCCGCACCGATCCAAGTGGTAGGTGCCTTGGTCCTTTAACCCTCATCCCCTTACAAGAGGAACAGGTCGCGCTGAGACTTTTTCCCTTACAGGGATAGAGGTTTTGGGGTCGCGGTGCGAGCACCGGTATCCCCCTCCTGCTGGGGCCAAAGACTAGAAAATGAGAAAATTCATTTCAATGTTATTTCCAAGTCCATTTCAAGTTGCCTAGGGTCCCCTGCCTATGCAGTGCAATATTCAATCCTCAATCATTCAATCCAATGCTACTTCCAAGGCTGATTCTCATGGCTGGTCTGACAACCTCTTGTCAACAAGGCCATCGTCACGGCCGGTTTGGCGGTCATTCTCTCAATAGCCATTTCTCAAGACTGACCCTTCCGCCCACTCAATCCTCAATTTTCTCATTCCTCAACACCCAATTTTTGTGACCGTCCCAACGGTCCCTGCCCTTCTCGGCTTTTAAGGCTCCGCCTTTTTTATCTTGTCCTTCTCTTTCGCATTTTCCTTCCGCCCCCTTGGCAATTTTCAGTGGCCGACCCACTGACCTTTTCCATTTTCTCCGTTCACTGATTGGCTATTTCAACGATCGACCC